GAGTGAAGAGAGAAGAGAGAAGAGAGAAGAGAGAAGAGAGAAGAGAGAAGAGAAGAGAGAAGAGAAGAGAGAAGAGAGAAGAGAAGAGAAGAGAGAAGAAGAGAAGAGAGAAGAGAAGAGAGAAGAGAGAAGAGAAGAGAGAAGAGAGAAGAGAAGAGAGAAGAGAAGAGAGAAGAGAGAAGAGAAGAGAAGAGAGAAGAGAAGAGAGAAGAGAAGAGAAGAGAGAAGAGAAGAGAGAAGAGAAGAGAAAAGAGAAGAGAAAAGAGAAGAGAAGAGAAGAAGAAACAAAGAAGAAACAAAGAGGAAACAAAGAAGAAAAGAGGGGCCGAGAAGCAGAGGACCAAACGGCTCTGATGACATGCCATGGGCCATGACTAATGATCTCTACAGACCCTTCTAGTGACCCTAAAGGTTTGTCCCTTTTCAGAGCCGTCAGGAGCTGGAAGATGCAGGACGGGCAGCTTCAACTGCCATTACCAGGCACGGGAGAGCGGGACTGATGCTGGCAGTTGGAAGAGCTCAAAGATTGGTTTGGTTTGGTCCTGAAGTCTAAAGAAAACACTGTTTGTCTTGATATTAGGGTGGAGGCCATCGCTAGTAGGTTGGAGGCCATTGCTATTAGGTTCCTCATTAAGTTTTGATCATTGAATATTGCACCATTTAGAAGGGCCTAGGGTTATGACCGGGATTAAAGCTAACTCTAGAACAGTTACCCGTTCCAGTGCCTTTTTGAGTGTTCCCTTTCTTCCTCTGGAAGTGCTGGTTTCTATCGCAGACTGTCCAGTCCGCTTGTGTTTTCGTGTGACTGTCCTATGTTCATTTTTTTGTGTATTGTTTTTGTTTTTTTCTTTGTATTGTGTTTGTTATGTTTCATAAACATATAATTCTTAACTTTGTTAGACTTAGCTTCTTAGGCAGCTCACAAGCCTAGGGCCTAGGACCCTGTGAGGCCATCCCTGACTCAAGGCCGTTCTAGTCTCATGACCAGGCTCCGCACTGCAGAGCTCCAGCAGCTGCGCAAGAGTGCCAAGACCGCACAGGAAAAGCTCATGAAGGCTGGAACACCAAGAGATAAGGCCGATGCTCCGAACCAAACAGCTGCGCAGGGGGCCAAAGACTGGTCTGAGATGTTGCAGCGAGATGCTCGGAAACAGGCGCCGGGAAGAAGTCTTGATTCAACTCGATGTTTATACCACAACTGCGACAACTGTAAGCTTCAGACAGGTCAAATTTTGATGCGCTTGGCTCATAATCGTGGCCAGCATTCGTGTTGCTTCAACATTGTGCGAAGAACCACTAGACCTCTCGCACTTCTGTTGTGCTTTGCAGTGCGCCAATAGCATAGAATTGCACATGACTCCACTCCAGTGGGCAGACTTGGTAATTTCATTTATGGTTCACCATTTTTTGCAGTGTCTTGGTGCGAGGATAGCAAGAAATTGGTGGAGGAAGCAAGGCAGGCAGGTGTGGAGCTCGAGAGGCGAAGGACTCAGGGGATGCCGTCATTGAATTCAAAGGCCTTCCAGGCAGCAGTGGGGTCACGAACTACAACTTCTAGACATCCACACCCTTGGCATCCATTTGAGATGAGCAAACGGCATTGTTTCTCCAGCAAGGGTGGTGCTAGTAGGTCACATGTTTGTATGCTCGAAGCTTACTATGTCATGCAAAGCAGGATGCCTTTTGCCATTGGATTGAACACACTTGTTTTGAAATCAACAAGTCCTCCCAAGAGAATACAGTGTATCTCAAAAGCGCCATATGTAAGATCTATACGTCCTCTCAGGTCACTGACAAAGGCCTTGGAATCACGAACTGAGAACAGAGCACAGGACCGTTACGGTCACCGTGTTTCATTGGTCACGATCGACGATCTGGTGCCAGTTTGGACGATGCGTTATTGGTTACGACAGCGTGGTCCGATGGACGAATGGTTGTACACATTGGGAGTCGCTGGGAGTGATTCAAATGTGCGGATGTGAGTCGATGGCGACTCAACCGATTATAAAAACAAGGTGTTGCGGTAGGTGATGCATGCTAGTGGAAGAACGTCTCATTTAAGGGAGGGAAACCAGGCTAGCAGGTGGGAAGGCAATTGTTTATTCTGTGGTGGAGTTGCTACGGAACATGTGAACGTGTGTGAAAGAAAAACTCTCGTGAAAACAGGTTGAAACACTTCTAGGAACCGCCAGATGCGGACACGCAGCCAAGCTAGGAACCGCAACAGATTGCAAATATCTCCCAAATTGCAACAATCTGTTGGTTGACTCTGCCAGTTCACACTCGCTTGCAGACTGGCCTCAAAAAAACGACCTGAACGTTCATCCACTTTGGTTTCCTCCAGAAGGGGTTGTACAGCCACGATGACCTTTGTACACCTCATGCTGATGCCTGTCAGCACTTGGACAGCACTCCTTGCCCAGGAGCTGTTACTCCGTGCCCAGCAACGGAAAAAGCTGCTACAGGGAGTTCTCAGTGAGGCTCTTCCACCTAATAGCTTCTTGTTTTTAATAGCTTCTTGTTACTACTGGTAAGGCACTTGTTACTAGTAGCGTGGCACTTGTTGCTAGTAGCGATGCACTTGTTACTAATAGCTTCTAGATTTCGGGCCCTGCAAGCAAACAGGATCGAATGCACTGTTCGTGGCTTTCAGGTGGCATGTTCAGGACGATTTTTCCGTTCACCTTCGGCACTTGAACTAGATCACACTCACATTTGCAGTTCTATATGATTTGTGTTGTTCTCATTTGCAGCTGAATGATTCGGTCATGGTCCTGCTTAGCAATCAACAGTTGAAACTTATTATGGCGTTCCCACTCTGCACTTAGAAGACGCAAGATTTAGTCTGGCCCTTTAGTCAAAAGAACACCTTGTATCAATCACGACTTCTCACTGCTCCATGTTGATCTCGTCTGACCAAAATTTCAGGCAGTGGATGTTGCAAAGATGGCTCGTGCTCCACAGTTCACTGTGGAGGAGACAAAACCTCAGAAAGAGACACTTGAGGCCAGAGTCACGAATCACACAGCCGGTCTTACTCATTGAACCAACATGAAGGAACTGATTTCATGTGAGGCTTTGTATTTGGAACATATCTTTGCTCAGTATTGGCGCAGCAGCTACCAAAGCATGAATGTCATGGTTTAGGTGGGCTCACTTTTGCTACTTGGGGTGATAGGACCTTTTTATGTTGGTTTAGTTCCAAGCTCAGCTCTTCAGCGCAATGCTTTACAACATATGATAGCTTCATTTTGCCGGTTTGGGAAGCGAACGAGGCAATGTTAGGACTTAGGACACTGGGGGTATTTAATTGCTCAGATTTGGACATGTCACTTGATAAAGGCTCCCCTCCCCCAAGCCAGACACTCCAGGTCAAAGTTGAGGAAACAATACTGCCAGAGAGGCCAAGGAGAAGTCCTTGTCAGTGCTGGTTTGCATAAACGTGTGCATCACTGCTCGCCTATTTAAGCCCAGTGTCGTTGCAGACGACTGTAGAACTTTGGAGCAAATCGTCGGCTGACTCGTGCAGCTTGTGCAATAGATGTGTGAGAGCAATTGCCACTCTACAGTAAGCTTACGGTCATTCAACATTCTCCCTGCGAAGAGCTGAGGACTAGCTAGCCTAGTCTCTGTTCAATATCGTGAATGTCACACGCCATTGTTAGGCAGACAAAGACCTTCACTGCCGAAAAGCTGAAGGCAATGATCTCCGCTCCCAATGGTTCAATTGTAAAATCTGAAACGTGCTCCACATGTTGTAGATTCTATTGGCCAGGCTTGGAATATCTTGGAACCAAACATGTGCTTTGATATCAAACATGATCTGGAAGACATTTGTTACTGTACAATCAATTCGCTGACCGCACTTTCTTGAAGCTCTTAGCACTATCGTGATATTCTGTGGTGATTGCCGTTCCGCTGTCCAAGCCACAAAGGCATTCTTGCACCTGTTCCCCCAACCTTAGCCATGGACTTGGAGTTTTATCTTTTTTGCTTATGCATCTCATCCTTGTGCCAGGGAGTGTCTGGCTCCTGGCTGTTGCTTGGGATCACCATTGCCGGCCTACTGTGTCGCGTTCTCAGCACTTGGGGGACAATGGAAAGAGTTGAGCAGTAAACCAGATCAGAAGATTTGTTCAGTTCAATGGTATCAAATTGAAAAGAGCACTGGGGCGTATGTGGGCTTGTTCGTCTGCCTGTGTTTGTGATGCTGCAATTGAGTACTGTATGCGACATCATTTTATGAAGTCGAAAGCCGTCGAACGCTGTGAGGAACATTGCTAATCTAAAAAGATCTTGTGGGCCCCTTTCCGGCGAGTTCCAATGTGTGCCCACCAACTTGTCGTGCGCAACACCGGCCAAGCAGGCTGTCATTTCATGGCATTTGGAATGACCGAACGCAAGAGATCACCACTGGTATCATGAGAAGTGCTACCACAATCCCTCGCAAGCTCCACAAGTCTAGTTGACAGCTATTGGATAGCTGTCTCATTCGAGCCAGTTTCGCAACCCTTCCTTGGTGGCCCGAGCATGGTTCTGTAAATATTTTATCGGACATCACCGAGGGAACAATTCACACCTTGGAAATGGATACCTTGGCAAAGAAAGTATATTCAGACTCCCATCTCATTGGCAGACTCGGTGGCTGGCTTCGTCCTGCGCCGTTCAGCCGCAGCACCCAGGCAAGTGCCCAAAATGCAGACTCGCGATTTGCTTTTTGTAGAAGCTAAGAACTGCAGAGTTTGTTGGATCCAGTCCGATCATTTGCACTTTAGACAGGCAGGGTAAGTTTATGGGCTTTTAATTCATCGGTTCAGAACAGTTTTCAGCCCCGTTTGTCCTTCAGAACCGAGTCGTCCTTTGCTTCTTTGACACCAGGGAGTCCAGGGAGATTGCACTCCTCACCATTGCAGAGCCATAGATGCCATAGGCATGGGGTTTTGGAGCCGCAGGGGGTTCATCTCTTGCAAGGTTCTTGCACCCAGGTGGGTCAACTTCTTAATTATGACCTAATTACAATCACCCTCGACAATCATTCAGACATACTGCAGCACACTCCTTCTCAAAGAATCACGGAGCTGTGTCGCTTGGTGTCGATGAGACACCTTATATGTTCGAAAGACAAATTTACTGTATATAAAACATAATCATCTACGTGTTTTGATCTTTCAGAAGTCAGTGAAAGCAAAACACGGCGTGTCGGATTTTGAAGCTTGTTCGTAGGTTTCAGGCGTCCAAAGTGAAGATGTCTATGAGGACATCCGACAACTTTAGATCGGAATTCATCATGTGCAAGTATCTCTTGACCAGCACACTGCTGAGCTCATCAAACTCCTCCCCTGCAAAGTGGAAACCTTCACACGACCATACAAGACTACTTCAAGATGCATTAGACAAAGATGGTCATGTTTCTTGGAAAAGGAGACTTCTCTTCCCCAGCTGTCACTGGGTGATCCAGTGGGATCATGTACATAGTCGGCATGTGCCATGCCTGACAAAGCCAGTCATGGTTCTTTCAGTCCGACGGACGCATTTGAGCCATAAAGTATAAAGAGGTTTAAACATCAAAACAGTTTAATAACTCACTTATGTGCATCTCGAACTATTCGTCCCAAAAGCCTTCGGAACAAAGCCTTGCATTGAGAAGTCGGCTTGTGTGGCAAAGGAGGCTTTGCCAACCTGTCTGGAGAGTGCCATCCCTCGCAAGCTCTACAATATCCAGGAATCCACGGTGTTCTTCATTGTGAATCGTCACCAACTCAAACACACCGGGATGTGTCATTTGAGCTTGTGGGCATTTGAGCTTGTGAGGGTGGCTGCAGGGATCTCACGGTATCTTCCCAGGGGGCCAAAGATATCCACATCTCCCCCTTTGAGGTCTCGAAGCAAGCAACATCAAACAACACAATTCAACTGAACGTAAATATATGATGTCAAATGAGCCCCAAACATCACATTTCCTGCTTTATTTGAATCGGTGATCTTCACTTTCAGGACCTCGCTGAATGACATATCTTTTGAAATTCGCGATCGCGCAGGGCTGTGCAATGTGCTCGAAAGACTGATTGAAGGCCAAGGTTTCTGAGCGATTTTTCGGGCGCGCAGCGCAGCCTTGCAAGGTCTTTAGGAAACCTTATGAGCAAAATGGCTGCGGCTGGAAGGACGTTCAATTGGTTTGTTGTTGGATGAAGATTTCTATTCGGTTCGATTGTTTGCTTGAAACAAATCGTCCTGTATTCTTGAAATGTATCTAGCTGCACATCAATATCGATATCAGCAGGCCGTGAAATTCTGAAAGATCCACAAAGTTTCAGCTTGGCAACATATTTAGACTGTCTGACAGGTCTTGAGCTCAACGCACCCCTGGCTGGCCTTGCAAAGCAACTTGCTACATCGTGTCTAAAGATTGTCTAAGAACAGTTTCTCTTTGGAGGTTCAGAATCAGCAAACAATTCCTGGCACCTGCTGTTGGCTCAGAGTAGCCCCATCTGCTGGGGGCGCCCGCAAATGAGCCTTGGCTAGAAGTGACCAAGAGGCTTGATATGGCTATATAGATTGCGGCTAGATCCATGTTCAAGATCCAATTCTTCACACAACACTTGTGACATGTTCTTTGACGCGATTCAATCTATCGACAGTGTTGACGGGCTTCAGCGCAAGCTACATCGAGAAACCATGCAAGTGGGTGAGAAGAAAGAGACAAAACTGGTGCAGAATCAATAGCTCAGGAAGCTGGCCGGGGTCTTGCTTGGAGGCGGAGAACCAGAGGGACAGGAAGGAAAAATCAATCACTAAAGCTTGCACTAGAGCAGAGGGCGCCAGAGCTAGGTAATTTGTTTAAGCATCGAAGTACAGTATCAAAAGATAAGAGTGCACGTAACTGAGGCGGTATTTGATTATGGACTTGCTGTGAAGATGAACATGTTGGGGGCAGCATTCATGCAGCATTTCCAACAAGAACAACTTTGCTTTGCCATGTCTTTGTACAAATTGCCTATCATGTGACCAAAATCAAGGAAGTCAAGGAAGTCTGGGGTGAGTACTGACACGAACACAAATGGATCATTGATTCGCAAAGGCCAGTTTACTGAGTTGTGTTTCAAGTTTCTAGGATTCTAGGTTCTACAGCAAGGACAGCAAGCACCTGATCCCCAGCATGTGTTTTAATCCTTATTCCATCAGGATGCAGCAGTAGGAATGTTTGGGATCATGTAGTGTAAGAGTAGAAAAAGGTGCAATCCACCCCAATGCCTTTTGAGGCTTCCACGCTGCAACAGGCTGAGATGATATACATTTTTTGTTTGCAGCTTCATCACATGTTTTGCTGGACATATTTCATTGGCGTTCATTTGTGGTTGTTTGGTTCCACTAGTTATACTATAAGCCATGATGGTCAGCAGCCTTTCTGCAACTCCATCGAACACTACCGACGGCCCTGGAAGCTTCAGTCAGTTGGCTCAAGTACTGCCCAATTCGATGCAACAGAATTCTAAGATCTATTCTCTAATGAATTCTGGTATTGAAGTGCACGACATTTTTAATGCTTTCTTGGCTTCTCAGGCTTTCTGGATTCTCTGTTCCTCTTTGTTTCCTGAGGTCCTCGGCCTTGTGTTGAGCGACACCCAGGAGGTTCGGTTGTACAAGCAGCCAGTGAGTGGGCGGGAAGTTCTGAATCCCAAGATCCACTCAGACTAGACTGGGACTCAGACATGCACTTCAAGAAGCTGCTTCAACTCTAGAAATGGCAGCATTTCGAGTGAAGTGCCAATCAGCTTCTCCAATGTCTGATTCATGCTTCTCCACATGGCCATGTCAGAATCGCACGTCAGGTCAACACTTAACACACTACCCCCCCGTTCGATGGGCGTCACATGCAGGCAAGACAAAGACTCACGCTCTTTGGGAGTTTCGACACTTGGGCGAACTATGCCACAGGCAACTCACCTAGGAGAGTACCCGGTTAGCTCGCTAAGGAGGGCCAACCATTGCCTAAACTGGATGACCACCTTGAGCAAAGGGACCGACAGCTAGACTTGTATGTCACTGAAATCTTTAGGATTCCTCAGGTTCTTTTGAACGAAGGGACGTTTGATAGATTTGGATATTAATATAGATCCCAGCACTGCCTCACTGCTCTACGCGACGTCGAGTAGCCAAGTCGATTGCACATATTGACCGCCAGGGCTGCCCCTGCCAGGCGAGACAACATGAGAAACATGCTGGAAAGAATACCATGGCGAAAGCCTTGTGTTTGCAATGTTTGGATTGGAGCCTTTGGAGTCTGAGAGAAGTGGATAGATATTTGACACTATTGGATTTCAGTGGGCGTAAAGAGATTCCACTGGGCAGAAGACATGCACAGCTTTTGTCAGGAAGCAGCAACTGCTCCACAGTCACTGCTCGGCTCTCAAAAAGCTGCTGAATAGCCGATGAATGGCAGCTCAAGTTCCCAAAGAACTTGCCTGTTGCTGATGGCCTGAGAGCCGAGAGGCTCATTTGACTGTAGTACATACCGAGTTACTTGTGGTCTCTTGTGGTTGTGTGAGGTTCTTCATTTTCATTGAGCTGCAGAGTGCGTTTTTGTTCTTTCTGTTGCCTGTAAGCAATTTGTTTCTTAATCCGTATGGAACAAGTGACGTGAGTGGCATCTGAGTGATACGCATGCTCCCTGCACTGTTGTTCAAACCTCAAAAAGAAGGCTGTACACTGTAAGCCAACACCGTCTACACTGAATGCTCAGCATGCATTCCCCAAATCTCCACCTAAAGGTGGACAAAGCAAGGACCAGATAATGGAAGTCTTTTGCCAACGACACGGGACATATTGGACACGCCCCAGATTGATTTTATCACCTTAAACAGAAACATATATAGTACTGTGTTATAGTTCTATAGTATATGAACAGCCGGCACATGTTTGTCTCAGGATTGAGACTGGAAGCCAACAGCACATTCGCCTGCAGGGGTGCCTGGCTGCCGATTCCTCTAGAATTTGGTATCACAGAGTTACTCTTTGTCAATGTTTTGCTTTGCAATCGAAAGGTCTTGCTATATGCTACTTGTAGAGGTTCAACCACCTGTTTGTTCTCATAGGCGCGGGACCGGTACAATGAAGTGGGGTACAGGTGTAGGCACTCCAGGCTTTGGGAGGTAGCCTTTCAGTGTGTTTGTGTGCTCACGACTGCACCATCAGTGAGTAGATGGCCCTTCCACGCCCTTTCCTGCCCGAACAAGAAGCTACTAGTAACAAGTACCTTACTGGTAGTAACAGGTGCCTTACTAGTAGTAACAAGAAGCTAGTAGAAACAAGACCCCTTACCCTTGGAGGTCGAAGCTTGATATCCGGCAGGAGCACCAAGGGAGCTGTCGCCCTAGAGGGAAGGAGAAAGCTGCGCTTTGACCTTTTTCGTTTGGTGTATATAGATCTTTGGACCCATTTGGACCCATGACTCAGTTGGGTGTACTTCTGATAGAACCGACTACTATGACTATACTACTGGCGGTTCCAGTTTGGTTCAGATACTGTCAGCGCTCCACTGGGTTCCCCGACACATGCATAGCTGCTACTACTCTCGGATACAAGTTCTCGATTCAGTTCATGGGTTTGACGCCTTGTTTTTCGCAGTGTAACTCATAACCCAAGCAAGCTTGTGCTACAACCATCTGACCATAACACGAATCTGACCACATGCGAAACATGCAAACTGTGTCTCTTTCTGTTGGGCGTCAGCTAGAACGAACACCCGGCCGAAGGTGGCGGCCTCTCACTGGGTGAACTGCAAGAACGTTATGGTGCTACAAGTGTAGCACTTTCCCAGGAGCGGAGCCACGAGCAGATGTGGTTGCAGGTATCAATGTGCTTGTGCTGTTTATGGGTGCAGTATCACACCTGCACGGCCGTGAAGGACCAGACATTTGCTGA